CTGCACTGACAATGCATAGTCTTCTTGGGATTCTCTCTATCTCTATCTCTCTGCCCCTCCCCATCTTGTTCTCTCTCTATCTCTCTCAAAATACATAAATAAACTTTCAAAATTTTAAAAAAGGAGTACAATAAACAAAGAGAGAGATGGGGAAAAATATTCCAGAGATACGGAATAGTGTAAATGGAAACAATCCAGATACTACAAGCTATATTTCAGAAATTATTGGTAGCTAAATCTGGCAGTATCATGGTTTCCAATATGAGAAGAGGGAAAAATAAGATTGGTAGAGTTGAGTTAGTTTCAAATCACATTGTTGATGACTTTGGATGTTAGACTAGAGGCACTCAATGGTAGAGTCCTTGAATAGTGGAGTTCCAGGAACAATGGTAGATTAAATACTCACATCTAATTCCATGACCTTCTAAAATTCCACTAAAACTAAAGAAAAAAATTTTTAATTTAAGTGGACAAATTTAAAAGTATAAGAATTAGAAAGGACACAACAGTTTGGAATCTGAAAAGTACATGGATGAGTGGGTAAGTAACTTAATAAGACAGGATAGCCAAATCTAACCTGTCAGTGCAGAAGCCCAAAAAACAATATAGTTTATATTCCAGAATCATCAAAAGTCTCAGGAACTGGTAGGACCGAGAACCAATTGAGGGTGAAGGTTGAGGGAAAAGATAAGGGCCAAAATAAGGAAGACTGGGTAGAAGTTGTTTGTTAGAGCTGACCGCTCCTTTTCCACTCCACACCACTGGGCAACTTCCTTCTCCCACCCTGGCACAAGTCAGGAGTCTTGTTCTCTGGAGAGGGTAAAGCAGAAAGTGTTTGAATTGGGAAATATCTCACACATTTGAGGATTGAGTTACCATACTGAAAACATAGATTAAGTAAATTTATTCATACTGAATAAAGCCTGCAGAGACCCCACCACTATCACATGTGCACATATGGCTTTTCTCTTTTCTCTCATGTGGCTCCCAAAGTGCTGACAGCCAGAGAGTATCTTTCCCAGGAAAGATACTGGAAAACTGCCAACTGAAGAGGAAAGACTTAAATATGGTTTCCAGCCAACAAAGGGAATCCAGATCCCTTTACTGTAATGGTAAAGTTAACAAGCCCATCCATAGACTTATATCCTCCAAATAATTTTTAATTCCTTACTCTTAATCATGAAAAATCAAGCATCATCAGACATCTGAGGAATCCTCCAACATGGATGATATAGACCAAAGCCAACAAATAAAAAGAAACAAGTTGGAGGACACAGAGATAAGGGAGGAAAAATAATACTTAAACAACAACTTATTAACATCTTCAGAAAGTCAAGAGATGATATTGCAACTGTTAAGAACAGATTCCTTGCAAAAAGAAACATTCAGAGAATAAAAAAGAGCTCTTGGAAATTAAGACATGATAGCAGAATACAACAAAAAGGTTGGAAGTTATATTTGAGGAAATCTTTAAGAAATAGAACAAAAGAGGGGCGCCTGGGTGACTTAGTCGGTTAAGCGTCCGACTTTCGCTTAGGTCATGATCTCGCGGTTCGTGGGTTTGAGCCCCGCGTCGGGCTCTGTGCTGACTGCCAGCTCGGAGCCTGGAGCCTGTTTCAGTCTGTGACTCCCTCTCTCTCTGACCCTCTCCTGTTCACGCTGTCTCTCTCTCCTAGAAATAAATAAAACACTAAAAAAAAAAAAAAGAAATAGAACAAAAGACAAAAAGATGAAAAAGGAGAGAGAAAGGTAAGAAAATGGGAAGATCAGTCTAGGAGATCCAACATTGGAATCCATATGCTAGAATGAGAGATTAATGAAATAGAGGGAGGAAAATAATCAATGAAATAATTCAGGAAAACGTCCCTAGAGTGAAGGACATGCATTTTCATATAGAAAAGGCCACCTCAGATAAATCACAGTGGATGAATAGGCATTTTATTACAAAATTTAAGAACACTGGATATAAATAGAAGATCTTAAAAGCTTCCACATAAAAGGATAAGGAGTCAGAATTTCTATAGCTTTCTCAAAGTGGAAACTAGAGACAATGAAAATAACTTCTAATCTAAAATTCCATATCAAATCAAGTGATTAGTTAAGTGGGAGAGTAGGGTAGGATAAAGACATTTTAGATGCACAAATTTCATTAATTTCCCATATATTCTTTCTCAGAAAGCTATAGGTGGATATGTACCACCAAAGAGAGGGAGTAAGTCAAGAAAGATAAAACATGGGAACATTTGGATGGCTCAGTCAGTTAAGCATCTGATTCTTGATTTCAGCTCAGGTCATGATTTCACACCCGCATTGGGCTCTGAGCTGACAGCACGGAGTCTGCTTGGGATTCTCTCTCTCCCTCTCTCCCAGCCCTTCCCCCATTCTTTCTCTCTTGCTCTCTCTCTCTCAAAATAAGTATTAAAAAAAAAAAGAAAGACAAAAAATAAAATGCAATAAGTGGGAGATCCAGTTCAGGGTGACTGTTCATCACACCTAGGGTATAACTTGTTTAAATTGGAGCAGGCTCAAAATTTGTGTCTAAGGATAATGCAGGACTCCATATCTTTAATTATTTTTTCTTCTGCAGTGAACAGGCAGGTGTTGTAAAAGCCAATGGGATCTCACTTTTATTATAAGATTCACAATAATGTTGGCATATGGGTGAGACTGAAAGTCAATACAGTAATATATTTTTAATATGAAGAATTCTACTGGAGACAGGTGTCTCTTTCAATTATCTTAGCAAGAGTCTTATGTTTAGGCTATTTATTTGCTTAGGTGTAGAATAAAACCAAATCTGCCTGAGTAAGGGGAAAAATATGCACACACATGTGTATATATATGTATGTATAAATGTATGTATATACACTATATATGTATGTATATGTACACACACCCACACACTTATATATAGGCATAGTGTGTCTATGGAAAGATACATAAGAACCTGGAGCTCATAGTTGCCTCTGTGTGGTTAGGGAAAAGAAATGAGGGGAGACCTTTTCTTCATTATTTATCTCCTTGTTCCTTAATGATTTGGACAGGATGCAGGGTAAGAGAGACAATAGACTGGGATCAGTAGAGATTGTCATGTTCTTGAATTGAGGAAATAAGGACCTGAACGAGAAAAGAAGAGGTGGATGCTGAAGTCAGAAGAATACTTGCCTGGTCTTGTGATAACCAAATGTGGCAGGAAGATGGGTTGGCAGTGGGTACTGAGGGAAAGTCTAGAGGGCAGACGTCAGAGACGACTCTTTGCTTTCTAGCCCAGGTTAACAAATGTGAGAATGCTGAATAGATCAGAATGGCAGAAAGAGGAGGGTGGATTGCAGAAGAATAAGTGGCAGGGGTGGAGGTAGAGGAATTGGAAGCAGCAGTTGTAGTTTGTTTTCCTTCTGACCAAAATTTCATTTTTCCTCGTCATATCATGTGCCTTATCATCCACAGCTTCTCACCTTGTGAGATGATTGAATGGCTTCTAGAAATCTCAGTGATGTGTCATCAGGAGGCACCAACTCAGAGGGCTGAGGGAGTGTAGTGCAAAATGTGCTGTAGGCACTCAACCAACCAAAATACTCTCTATGGCTGAGAGACAAAGGGGTAGAGGGACTGATGCTTTGCAAAACTTTCTCCAGCTCTGTCACTTACTAAGTTAGTGACCTTGGGTTAATCACTTTGACCTATGTCTAGTTTTCCTCATCAACAAAATGGTCATTATATCCCAATACCTACATCACAGGGTCATTGTGAGGAATAAATGAGATAATGAGTTTAAAAGTTTAGAAGAAGAGGGGCACCTGGGTGGCTCAGTCAGTTAAGCCTCTGACTTTGGCTCAGGTCATGATCTCACAGTTCATAGGTTCGAGCCCTGCATCAGGCTCTGTGCTGACAGCTAGCTCAGAGCCTGGAGTCTGTTTCAGATCCTGTACCTCCCTCTCTCTCTGACCCTCCCCTGTTCATGCTCTCTCTTTCTCTCTCAGAAAAAAAAAAAGTTTAGAAGAGTGCCAGGTACAGGGTAAATAACAGTAATGTTAATGAGTACCGTTATTATACTTAATGCATCCTTTAACTTTTCTTTGTGTCTCTTCCCCCAGACTTGGAACATAGAAAATCTAGAGAATTTAATATACAAAGGAGGGATATTTTCACCAGAGTTATATTTGTGTTTCATTCAATCTTTGAACAAATAGTTTTGAGGTATTCTTAGGTGCCTAGGATTCATTGGTGAAGAAATTAGACACATTGCTGCCCTTACAAAGCCTAGAGGGTTTTTTTCCCAGAATTTCCTTGGGTCTTCTCACATGTAGCAATATATACTAAGTGAATGCTATATGCTAAGTGCATATACGTATATGTGTGTGTATATATATACATTTATTCATTTTTAGTAGAGATACAATCGACATATAACATTGTGCCAATTTTATATGTACAACATAATGATCTCATATATGCATAGATTGTGAAATGATTGCCACAATAAGGTTTGTCAACATCTATCACTACACATAGTTACAAACTTTTTTTTCTTATGATGAGAACTTTTAAGATTTACTCTCTTAGCAACTTTACAAATATGCAATAGTTATATGCAGTATAACTATGCATATAACTATGCAATAATCAAGGTATTTTAAGGAGTGTTTTACATTAAGCTTTTGTTTAATGTACATATGACCACATAATTTAAAATTACAGAATATAAAAAGTTACAAACTTAAAACGAAGTATCTCTTCTCTCTTTCCAAATTTCCCAGTTGACCTCATAAAGAACCTCCCTTACTTGATTTTTTGTGCCTCATGCCTGCGATAAACATATAGAATCATATAAGCCCCCTTTTATTATACAATGATTAGGGAAAGGGGAATAGGAGAGGGATTGGGATGAGTCAGAGGCCATTAATAGGGTAAAGTACATTAGGACGACAGAGGAAGTAATATCAGACTACAAGGGTTAAGTAGTACCATTGAAGTAGAGGCAGAAAATGTAGACTTTTAAATCAATTTAAGAAAAATGTATTAAGAACTCACTGTACAAAACATGTTAGGAAATAAGATGTTTATGGCCTAATGAAGGCAAAAGCAGGGCAGAACACACAAATGGTAATATTACAAGGACAAGCATGGCTAGTACAGCTGTCTACAATCTTCTAGATTCCTTTATGTAGAATAAGAAGAAATATTTCTTTGGTTGGACCTCTCAAAGTTCTCTCCTGGTTTGGGTTGAGGCTGCTTCATCCCTTAGTGATGCTGCAATGGAGCCAGGGTCATCTGACTCATTTTTACTGGGCTGGTATAGTCCTCTTGTGTACCCAGTTTCCCCATCATTTCTAATGACATATAGGCAGTCCTCAGACACAAATTCACCATCCTTGCTCTGGGCTAGCTTATCTCTACCTAGGGCACCTGCCAGCTAAATTGGCCTGCAGATGATTTACATCTCGGTCCTCCTAATTCTATTCTAGATCTTTGTGTCTCAGATACAAGTTGAAAGAGTCCTAAGCTTCCTTCCCTTTATCCTATTATCAAGATGATAGCTCTCCTTCCTCAGCTCTACCTGCAGCTGGATGAAACATTACAATAACTTGATTATTATCTGAACTTCTGATCAACCACCAGAGAAGCTACTGTCTGTCTTAAGTCCTTTTGGACAGACTGTCCACCTGTTGCTTGTCCCAAGGTTTATCAGAGGACTGGACAGGTGGGGCATTCATGTGTATCTTTGTTGTCAAGATCTTTCTTTTTTTTTTTTCTCTCTCTTTTGAGTGTTGTGATCTCTTAGTTGGCTCTTGCATAGTTGTCCTGGACCATCATCTCAGTCATTTCTTTCAAGAGAAGTAGGTTCACAATGCACAGTGCTTGACCCAGTATTCTCTGCTAAAGCTTATCTATAACTTGTTCGGCAGGTGGATCCTTCTCAGATAGAAGTGGTTCCAGGATCCGGGACTGATTCTGTCTTCATTGTTCTTAATTTTCCAAATCTTGGGTTGGTCTGCTCATCATTGTCAGTACACCAAGCCACCATTTTCCGACTGATCCTCACAGAGGGAGAAGAGCTCCCCAGCAGTGATTTTCTCAAGGCAGAGTAATTACATTATTATAGGACACATCTGTTTATGTTTCAAGATATTAATAGCAACACTATAAAGCCATAAAACACATAATTCTCACCCAGACTGAAGAGGAAGTTGTTCAGTCACAAATATAAAGACAGAATGAGGCACTACCTTAGAATTAATCATAGATAAAAACCATTATTCCAGTAATTGGGAATTATATATAAAACACAATCTGTAAAATTAAGAAAAAAAAGGCTGAATGTGAAACAGGAAGTGTTAGTCTTGTCAGGAGCCAATCAGGTGAGGTTGGCCCATAAATGCATTCTGAAATGAAAAGAAGCAGTTAAGGTCTGCTCCTGGGATAGGGAGCAGAGTGGCATTACATGACTCCTTCTTTCTCAGAGGGAGTCATGGAGCCCCCGCTATTAGTAATGGTAATAATAATATTAATAGACAAGAAAAAGCTAAGCCCAAAACTTGAAAGGGAAGGCATATAAACAACGGATAGTCATATGGACTTGACTCTTAAAAACGTGTAGTACTTTTGTCGCCTGAGGCTGTCTTCAAAATGTTAACACGCTGGGCTTCATCAGACCTCTCAGGTGCATGGTATTGTACTCTGGAGAAACAGAAAAAAAAAAAAACTGGGTGAGATTTCACAATAAAGCTGCTTTCCTTTTCTAGATTTCAGTGATAGGGTGGAATATAGGGGCCCACTGCAATACCAATAAGGAGGAACAAACTATTGAAGAGAGAGATAGAGATGTGCTCTTCATGCTACCTTCAATTAATTACCCTTTATTTTTGTCTGGGCCTGGCCCTGCCGTATGTTGATTCCTTGCTGCCTTCTCTCTGGAGGCTCTTCTGGACCATTTCTGAACTGGGTCTGTGAGGACAGGCAACATCTCAGCACCTGGGCTCATCATTCAGGATTCCTAGACTCACAGCAGCTTGTGCGTTAGGTAAATGGTGGGCACTCTGAGGGCTGTGCACCTTGGGGTTATGACTGTATCTTTGTGACCAGGCTTTTGAATTAGGATTGCTTTGACCCTAGGACTATGTGGCCAGAGCCTTGATATTCTTGAGAGCCCTGTTCCTCAGGGAGGATAAAGTACAAATAATCTGATTTCATCATGTTGTGGAAGGACTGATCACTGGATATCCTTATGTATGTTTCATGCATACCTTCATTCTTTCAACAAATATTTGTTACAATAGCTAAGATATGGCAACAACCCAACTGTCCATTGATAGATGATTGGATAAAGAAATTGTGGTATATACATACAATGGAATATGATTCAGCCATTAAAATGAATGAGATTTTGCTATTTGTGACAACATGGATGGACCTTGAGAACATTATGATAAGTGAAATAAATCAGACAGAGAAAGACATACATCATATTATCTCTCTTATATTTGGAATACAAAAATAAATAACAATAAACCCCACCTCATAGACACAGAGAGGAGATATGTGTTTTCCAGAAGTGGGGGCAAGGGGTAGGGGAAATGGACGAACTATTTTTGTTTTTAGTTTGAATAAATTGAACTTAAAAACAACTGAAAACTTGAACTCTTAAAAAAAACCCATATCACCACATTTGTCTACTATAGCCCCTAGTATGTGGATGAAAGATAATATAAAGAAAAGGATATACACATTTCCCCCTGTGCCATATTTAGGATTGCTTATTTGGATTTGATTAGGTAAAGAATCTAGAAAGAAAGCAAATAAATGAAAAATAAAAATCAAACAACTTATAATATTGCTCAGCTGAAAGCAAATATAAGAGAAAATAAGCCCTGATGAATAGTATTTACTTTTCCATGAAACTCTCTTTCAACATGTTATATATATTTATCATACCACTACTATGTAAATTTTATGAATATGTCCCAGTATCTGTAAAACAGTAGATGCCATGAAAATTATAACTACAGACAATTATTAGTATTAAAAAAAAGCTACTTTCTATGGACTAAAAATTATCTGCTGCTACAATTTCATAATAGAAAAAAATTATTGAGCACCTACTATATGCCAGGCACTGTGCTGGGTGCTGGCAGCTCAATGATAATCTTAACTGTTATGGTCTCTACCCTCTATAAAGTTCAGTGTAGTTCATAGAGGTTAATAATGTAATTGAACAAAAATGTAAGTATTACTTGGTGTTATGAAGATAAAGCATAGGGATCCATATGATTCTATAACAGGCTAGTATAATCTAATTTAATAAAGGGCTTTTTTGGAGGTGCAGCTTGAACCAAGATCTGAAGAATGAGTAAAGAAGTGGCAGAGGGCACAACAGATGTAAAGACACTGAAGCTAAAAACAGCATGTTCTCTCTCCTCACTTATTTCTTTATTCCTTCCACACATGTAGGATTCCCACTAGTCCAGGCATCATGGTAGGTACCAGGGTTACCATGTGAATAGTATACAGCCCCCACATACCACACAGACCCTGTTTGGTATTGATTTTTTACTTTGCCATGACTGAGCTTCCCATGCCCCTTGAGCATTGTGCATTGGATATCCTGCCATCCTTTTACAGCTAGAACATTTCCTACCAGATCCTTTCTAGTCTCACTTTCTTTTCTCTCTCCATTAGTTCATGTTTACTAAGGTCTCAGCATGCCCCAGACTCAACTGATGGTCAAATTATAGATTCTCTGCAGATGGTACCTCTTTCAGCAGTGTTGTAAGGTCAAGACTCACCTTTCGTTGGTCTGTTCACTCTCTTTTCTCTTCATTTTGATGGTTTCTGAAAGAGACCAAAACAACTTTAGAAAATGTATTGCCTTATAGACACTAAACAGGAGAAAATCTGAAGAGAATCCAAAGTTCTAGGACTCAAAGAGAAATCATGTGGTCTTACAGGTGGAAAAGATGGTTACTTGGTGCAATTTCAGGAGGACTGAGAAGGAGTTTTTCTGCATCCAAAGAGCAAATGCCTTCCTTTATTCACTGTGCCTTGAGTTCTAATATTGGAAATAGGTTTTTCACTTATAGCTCTATTCTTTACTAAAATAAAAGTACTGCTGGGAGGCATAACATATTTAGTTTTAGCAATCATTTAGTGATTAGAAAAGGTTTAAATCTTTTTCTGAAAGTAAAGGTTTAGAAGGAGGAAGAAAAGGAAATCCTAAAGATGTTGACTAACATCTAAATGGTTGAGTCAGTTGGTGCTACCCACTATTATACAATGTGGCATGGATGGGCCCAAGTGGAAATCTCTAACTGGCTTGATCTCCCAAAGCCTGAGTTGTTATTGATATGGACTTAACCACTGATGCAACTTGGAGTATGAATTCCTTTAGGTTGACTATTGTGATAGTGCTTTTATCTCAGAGCCTTCCAGCAGGGATTGTTAACCCGGGTGTCCATGGAGGACTTTAGGGAGTAAAACAATACCCTTGATGGTTTTGAGCACTTCTTACCATTAGAAGTTCTCAGGTGTGTGCGTGTGTATGCGTGTGTGTGTGTGTGTGTGTGTGTTTAAAGATAATCAGCTTTATTGAGGCATAATTAATACATGATAAAATCCAGTAATTTTTTTTTTAGATTTTGATGAGTTTAGCAAATGAATGCAGTCATATAACTACCATATGGAACTAAGATATGGAACATTTATATAAGCCCCAATAGTTTCCTCCTGCCCCTTTCCAGTCAATATTTTCCCCCTATCCCATCCTCTGATAATCACTGATCTGGTTAATATCACAATAGATTTAATTTTTTAAAAATTTCATAATTCTAAATGATCATAAGTGTGTAGTCATGTGGTCTTTCTGTGCCCGGTATCTTTCTCCTAGCTTGCTTTTTTTAAATTCATACATGTTGTTGCATGTTACTAGTAGTCCATTCCTTTCTATAGCTCAGCAGTATTTCACTGTTTGAATATACCACCATTATTGGTCCATTTACCAACTGATGGAAATGTAGGATACCAGGCTTTCAGTATTTCAGCTGCTATGGATATTTATGTATGTATCTTTGTGTAGACATATGTTTTTGTTTCTCATGGGCAAATATTTAAGATTGCTCGTTTGTGTAGTAATGCGTGAGAGTTTCAATTGCTTTACATTCTCTCTAGCACTTGATATTTACCACTACTTTTAATTTTAGCCATGTTGGTGAGTATATAGTGGTATCTCATTAGAGTACTATTTTGTATTTCCCTAATGACTAATGATGTTGTGACTGTGTGACTGTGCTCATTAGGTATTTGCATATTTCATTCTATGAAGTATGTGTTCAAGTTTTTTTGCTCCCAGCCTTTTGTTAAATGGATTGTCTTCTTTACTAGGTAGTAATATATAATTATATATTCTGGATATATAGTATATAAGTCCTTTTCAGATATGTATTTTGTAAACATTTTCCTCCAGCCCGTGGCTTGACTTTTGATATACTTAACAAAGTCAGAGGACAAAAGTTTTTTAATTTTGATGAAGCCCAGTTTATCAAGTTTTACTTTTTATGATATACTTTGTGTTTACTATGTCCTATCTATGATTTGCCTATCTGATCATGAAAATTTTTTCTGATTTTTTAAAATCTCTTATTTTTAGGTCAATGATCCATTTCAAGTTATTTTATGTGTATGAAGGTTCATATTTTTCAATGTGGATATCTAATTGTCCCAAAACCATTGTTGAAAAGACTATCCTTTTCTGCATGGAACTACCTTGGCTCCTTTGCCCAAATCAATTGACCATATGATTTTACTTTTTGATTATCCATCTTGTTTCATTGGTTGGTATGTCTGTGCTTTCACTAATACCACACTGTCCTGATTACTATAGCTATATAATAAATATTGAAATTAGGTAGTATAAGTCATCTGTTTTTATCTTGTTTTTCAGAATTTTTTGGTAATTGTATATCTTTTGCATTTCCACATAACTTTTAGAATTAGCTTTTTAATTTCCACTAAAGAGCCTGCCAGTATTTTGACTGGTATGTTAGTGAATCCACAGATCAATTTGGGCCAAATTGATATCTTATATCTACTCTTCTGATCCATGAACATGGCATATTTCTCCATTTATTTAGGCCTACTTTAATTTAGTCAGTAGTAATGTTTTTCCATTTTTAGTGTACAGGTCTTGTACTTGATTTTAAAATCTACTTCCAAGATTTTAATATTATTTGATGCTACTGTAAATGGCATTTAAACATTTTTTCAGTTTCCAACTTGTTTGTTGTTAGTATATAGATATACAACTGATTTTGATTTTGTGTATTGACCTTGTATCTTGAGACTTAACTACACACAATTAGTTCTAATAGCTTTTTACAGATGCCTTGGGCTTTTCTATAAAATGATCATGTTATTTGTGAAAAAAGACAGTTTTTCTTCTTCCTTTCCAATATGTGTGCCTTTTCTTTCTTTTTCTAGATTTTTGCATTGGCTAGGACCTCCAGCACAATGTGGAATAAATATAGTATATTTAAATGTGGTATCCTTCCTTCATTCCTGATCTTATGGGGAAAACAGTCAGTCTGTTATCATTAAATATGATGTTAACTGAAGGTTTTGTTATATGTCCTTTGTTAGGTTGAGGAAGTTCCTCTATATTCCTACTTTTATGAGAGTTTTTCTTTCTTTTTGAAAATTATGAATGAGTATTAATTTTGCCAAATGCTTTATCTGTATCCACTGGCATGATTACATGGCTTTTCTATTTGGTTTGCCAATATGGTGAATTTTATTGCTTGATTTTTGTATATTGAGCCTATCTTATATTCCTGGAATAAATCTCACTTGATCATGATGTATCATACTTTTATTTTTTTTAATGTTTTATTTATTTCTAGGAGAGAGAGAGACAGCGTGAGCAGGGGAGGGTCAGAGAGAGAGGGAGTCACAGACTGAAACAGGCTCCAGGCTCTGAGCTGGCAGTCAGCACAGAGCCCGACGCAGGGCTCGAACCCACGAACCACGAGATCATGACCTAAGCGAAAATCGGACGCTTAACCGACTAAGTCACCCAGGCGCCCCTATCATACTTTTAATATATTGCTAGATTTCAGTTGGTAATTTTGTAAAGGGTTTTGCCATTTATGTTCCCAAGGTTTAGGTATAGTTTTCTTTCCTTATCAGAGCAGCCTGGAAACTGACTTTAAGTAGTAAGTTGGGGGGCAGTCATAGGGCTCATCTCATCTTTTCCTTCTTTCAGGGACTACAGTTTTCTACAGCTTATTGTCCAATGCCTGAAAACAGTTGTTTTGTATTTTGTCTGATTTCCAGTTGTTTACAGTACCAGGGAAATTCCCATAGCAGTTAATCCGACATGGGAGGAAGGAGAAGTTTATATCTTCTATATAGTTTTAAAAGAGCCTTAATTTTTACAACTCAGTCATATTTCCTTATACCTTCTTATAACCATGCACAGTTAAGTACAATTTTTATACTCTATGTCAGGTCTTCAGATATTTGAAGGGAACACCTTTCTCCTCCCCAAAGCTTCTCTTCTGGCTAAGCATCCTCTGTTACTGGAACTATTTCTTATTTGACTGAGCTTCCAGACACTTTATACATCTGGCTAGGTTTTGTTTTTGTCAAGGTTCCTTTTTTAAAAATAATGCTTGGGGCGCCTGGGTGGCTTAGTCGGTTAAGCGCCCGACTTCCGCTTAGGTCATGATCTCGCGGTTCGTGGGTTCGAGCCCTGCGTCGGGCTCTGTGCTGACTGCCAGCTCAGAGCCTGGAGCCTGTTTCAGAGTCTGTGACTCCCTCTCTCTCTGACCCTCCCCTGCTCACGCTGTCTCTCTCCCTCTCCTAGAAATAAATAAAAACATTTTTAAAAATTTTTAAAAAATAAACAATAATTCTTATAGCTGAATACAGTTTTTCATATGTCTGTGGACCAACATAGAATATTTATATTGTTCTTTCATACCCATGACAAACAAAATCATCGCCATTTAAAAAAAAAAAAAGCTCCTATTTTAAAATGAAAGCAGACAACAAAAAGGCAGATTCTAATCTTGTGGAATCGATTACAAATTTAGCATTTTGAAGGCCAGAAGTGATGATATCACCAACTTTCAGTTTATAAGTCCTATGAAGGACTGTTTCTGTCTAAATAGTGGTTAAAATTATTTATTTCAGAAAAGACACTTGCCCTTTAAGAAAACATTCCTGAAAGAGCTGAGACTCTTCCAGGTTTGGTGGAGGGAGGCAAACTGTAAAAACTGTTGTTTGCTAGGGCTCTATTTCATACAGATTTCAGTCACATAAGACCCAAATGAGGAAGTACAACTTCAGGAGGAGCTATTTTTAGTCTCTTTCCCCCATGGGTAAACTGATAGGGTAACTTCTGATTGGGAAAAGACAGTAATTCAAGGTTACAATTTCTCATGCCTAATCTGCCCTGTTTGACAAATCAAAAAAGAGAAGAGAGATTAGAAACTAGCTAGAAAAACTGTGGCATTTCCCTTTTATTCTTTTAACAGCCTGAACAGAGTAAATGTTGATAGTTGGGGCATAGAAAAAGTATAATTACTAAACAAACAGTGGAAAAGACTTTTTATGCTGTTATTTAGTTTGAGAGCTGTCTCTTCTGAGAAATGGATTAATATTGGATTAGGAGGAAGCTTCATTGTTTTTTGGAGAAATTCCTACTGGTTATCAGTAAGCTTGTGTCTCTTGTGGATGGATCATGACTGCTTCCATGTCTATTTGTCAGCAGAATTTAGTTCCTTGTGGTTTTCTGACTGAGATCCCCATTTCCTTTCTGGCTTACAGCTGAGGGCCAGTTGCAGATTCTAGAGGCCACCTACAATCTTTGTGTCATGGTCCCTTCCTCTATCTTCAAAGCTAACAATGATGGGTTAAGTCTGTCTCAAGCTTTGGATTTTTCCTCCTTCCATTTCAACCCTCTAACCCAGCATGGGAAAGATGCTGACACATGTGATTAAATTGGGCCCATCTGGGTAATCCAGGATAATCTCATAATCTTAAAGTCAGTACCTTAATCACATATGCAAAGCCCCTTTTGCCATGTAAGATAACATATAATAGGTTCTGTGAATAGGAGGTGGACATCTTGTGGGAGGCATTATTTAGTCTATCATATAGGTAATGCCAAAGGTATCCACAAAGCAAGTGTAGATATTGCTGAATTATAGAACCCAAATTTACAAATACATCTACATGGGATGGTTACTTGGTACATCTCCTCCAATGATATCAAGACTCTTCTCTTTGACCAGCTCACTAGCACAGGTGATTGTCTGACCAAACTTTCCCTATCAATATTCTTTATCACATTCTTGGGAGGAAGAGGTCATAGATATGCTATGTTCTCTTGTTATTTTCTGCCTTTTACCACTCATAGCTCTGTTTGGCTATCATATGCATACACACAGCTTCTTTTTATTCTTTTCATATTTTTATTTAAATTATAGTTAGTTGACATACAGTGCAAAACTGGCTTCAGGAGTAGAATTCAGTGATTCATCACTAATATACAAACCCAGTGCTCATCATAACAAGTACCCTCCTTATACCCATCACTCATCTAGCTCATCCCCCACCCACCTCCTTCCATCAGCCTCATTATCAACAACAGGCAAGCTATGGAAAGAGCCCAAGTGTCCATCAACTGATGAATGGATAAAGAAGATGTGGTGGAATATTATTCATCCATCAAAAAGAAGGAAATCTTGTCATTTGCAGTTCCTTGAACCCTTTTTCAACTTCTTTCATGTATACATATACATCCTCTTTAACTCTCTTGTTTATTCTACTGAATTTTTCTGATTGCTTCTTAGGGGAAGAAGCATTCTTAATTTCTTTTTCTCCATTTCTTTGTCTTTGTTTCATTTGTAAGCTAATCATTCCAATGTGAAAGAAAATTTAGGAGACAGCTTATTTTCAAGCTGAAGCCTGCTTCTGCACATTTAGCTAATTCTAAATGGCAATGAGATTGAAAGAAAAAGCTCAAAATTGTCACCTGGAGAAGTCAAAGCTTTCGCAAGCACGATATATTTCTATATCTTTCCCTGTGCTCGAATTTTACAACTTCATATCATAGAAATCTATTATTATATCAGCCATACTTTGGCAGTTTGAATGAGTCTACTATTGGCTTAGTATTCATTTATTGAAATTGGATAATCATTCCCCAATTTCCTGTTTTTAAAGTATAGCAGGATGATAGGGTGTCTGAGTGGCTCAGTCAGTTAAGTGTCATACTCTTGGTTTCCACTCAGGTCATAATGTTACAGTTTGTGGGAATGAGCCCTGCTTTGGGCTTCCTGCTGACAGTGCAGAGCCTACTTAGGATTCTCTCTCCCTCTCTCTCTGCCCTTCCCCAGCTTATGCTCTCTCTTTTGCTCTCTCTCAAAATAAATAAATAAACTTTAAGAAAATATATAGCAGGATTCAATGAGTGACTGCTAATGTTATCCATCTATTTTCTAGTGGATCTTACAATCAGTACAATCAGCCAGCCAGGTGACCCCAAATTTTATCTATTTATATATTAAGGTTTATTTATTTATTTGTTTGTTTGTTTATGTAAGTAATCTCTATACCCAACATGGGCCTCAAATTCATAACCACAATCTCAAGAGCCCCATGCTCTTCTGAATGTCAGAATGGCTAAAATTAACAACACAAGAAACAACATGTGTTGACAAGGGTGCAGATAATGGGGAACCTTCTTGCACTGCTGGTGGGAATGCAAACTGGTGCAGCCACTCTTGGAACAGTATCGAGTTTCCCCAAGAAACTAAAAATAGAACTAACCTACAATCTAGCAATTGCACTATTAGGTATTTACCCGAAGGATACAAAAATACAGATTTGAAGGGGTACCTGCACCCCAATGTTTATAGCAGCATTATCAACAATAGCCAAACTATGGAGATAGGCCAAATGCCCATCTACTAATGAATGGATAAAGAAGATGTGGTATGTATATACAATGAAATGCCATTTGCAATGATGTGAATAGACCTAGAATGTATTATACTAAGTGAAATAAGTCATTCAGACTGACAAATACCATGTAATTTCACTCATCTGTGGAATTTAAGAAACAAAACAGATGAACATATAGGAAGGAAAGGGGTAAAGAGAGAGAGGAAAACAAACCACAAAAGGCTCTTAATGATAGAAAACAAACTGTGAATTGATGGGGGGAGATGGGTTGGAGATGGGCTAGATGGGTGAGGGGTACGAAGGAGGGCACTAGTTATGATGAGCACTGGGTGTTGTATGTAAATAATGAATTGCTGAATTCTACTCCTGAAACCAATATTGCACTGTATGTTAACTAACTGAAATTTAAATTAAAAATTATAAATAAATAAATAAAATCATTTGTGAACATTAAAAAAATAAAATCAGTACACCGAAATCTTAAATAAGATCCTGATCAGAAGCATTTATTCATCTGATGCTTTTTACCAAAGTAAGAAGGTTACCTAATTATCAGCACCACCAAACTTCTACTACAGGCATTACTGGTACAAAGTCAAATCTTACTCTACAACTTTGCCCAAACCAGCCCAAACCACAAAGAAGTATAAGATTATTATAAGGCCAAGGGAAACTTTGTCCCCCATTAAGCACATTCCTACTTTTGCAAAAGTCAATGAGGAGGCTGCTCAATGCAGTGCTATTTACAATAGCAAAACTACGGGAACATATTCTAGGTGTGTAACAATATAGAGTTAGTTAAATAAATTAAGGTGTATCCACAAAATGGAATATTTCACAGCCATTTAAAATGATGCTATAGAAAAAAAAATGATGCTATAGAATGATACTTAATGACATTGAAAATTTTCTTGCTACATTTAGTATAAATAAGTACTAAAACTCTGAAAAACAGTCCTTATAATATTATTCCACTTATTGAAAATAACACAGATTCCAGAAAAATCTAGAAGATACACACCAAAATGTCTATATAACTATTTCTTTCTTACTGGTGGAACTATAGATGATTTTTACTTTTGGTATAATTGGTAATGGGTATGTAATACTTGGTAAGCAATAAAAGTTAATATTATTTTTAACAAGTCAAGGGGGAACAATTCATTCCACTTTTTTTCCTTAGGAAACCTAGACTTTTAGAGATGAGAAGGTTAATCTTATGGTCATCTAATTCTCCCCTCCTCCCACCAAGCTTCCCTGCTTGAACTCTGCCAGGTCCATAATCACTGACATTTAGAAGTGTTTTCACCGTTTTACTTCATTGAATGTTCACAGTAAACTCATGAAGTGAGGAAGGTAAAGCAAGGAATAATCACCTTTGTCAGGAAACCAGAAATACGTTTGTAAACCTTAGTTTAGAAATGTTGCCTCTCCTAGAAATCCAGAGCAATGTTGAGTCCCATTTATATGGGCTCCAAACCCTGAGGGAAAACCTTTTCCTCCAACCACTTGCTGACTTTTTGCCTGTCTGAGCTCAGCCAATGAGCTCCAGAAGGCAGATTACGAGGTAGCTGCAAAATAGCAATCTGCAGAGAGGACAAGCACTGACTCACCACATTCACGAGAGGGGCCAGGCTGCTTCTTCTTCCTTTTCCTTAGTGTTTTAAAGGACATCATCCCACAAAAAACGACAAACATTACAAGTATAGCCGCAATCCAGAGGAAGTGGCCTTGTTTAGGGTCTTGTTCCTTAGGTTGTGCATCTAGAAATGACCACATGTTTTCAATCAGCCAGGAAGGTCTATTATAAAAGGTTTATATTACTGTTGTCTTGATTTATAAGTCAGCATCTCACCAGGGTTCTACTGCCAGAGGACCAAGAAATCCACAGTCTGAGGCCATTGAAGGCCCCAGTCACAGGACCTCAGCAGCTAAGAACCAAGCCAGTGCTTCTGGTTAAATGCTTGGACTAAGCTACCTTCTCTTCCCAGAGGTAGGGATGACAAGGACTGTGATATGGAAGAAGAAGGTCAACCTGGCCCTTGGTTCTGAGCATGGGTATGGTACCCATGCTTAAGCTTTTGAATGAATAGTCATCTGTGCAGCATCATGCTTCCTCAGCCCATGCATAGTTGGGCCTGGGGTCCTGAAGTTTCCCTTATAATAATTTCTCCATCTACTATCATCTGTAGATCAGGTGCCAGACATACCCCACTTGGACAAATATAATAGCTTCCTATCTCCAGTTTTTCTTGTTTGTTTATTTGTTTCTTCCACTGAAGTCACAGTGGAAAAAGCAGGTCTTTCACAATGTATCACCTACTAGCATAAGGACTTCTAAGTTTCTACAAAGTTGAAAAATAGGCTTTGGAGGGAAAACTTAGAACTGAGTGGCCCATTTTATAGACAATTTATGGGAATTGTTTGAATAGTTAATCTCAAATTATAGGAAAATAGAACCCACTGACCTATTAGTTCAGTTGCAATTTGCCTACACATGCCCTGTTCCTGAGACATTAAGAAAAGGAATTGCTGCCATTACAGGCCATATTCAACACTTTTTCAGTGTGTCCCAGTTTATCCCACTCAGGCCTGTTTGGCACTCCCAGTATAGGAGAGTTATACTTGATAACATGGAGACTGCTACCTTTTGACAACCAAGAAGATTCCTCAATTCAGGGTCAAGCCATAGAACAGGGATACAGAGAGAGGTGAGCCCTGGCTTCCTGAGGCATCTAGAGCTAAAACATTTCTGAGTATGGTGGTAGCTGGGAAGGTTTTTACAGTAGTTGAGAAACAGCAGAAAAGTGAGCCATGATGAAGCTACAGCGGTGACAAGGTCCTGCTCATTTGTAGACTGTGGGAGCCATGGCAGAGGAAACTATGGCAGAAGGCCCCAAGGCATGTCAGGTATGGTGGTGTTGCTGGCTCCAAAGAGGTGCTGAACCTCAGGGATAGCTTAAGAGAGGCTTCTGTTAGGCCAAGAGAGGCTATAGTAGAAGCAACCAGGACAGGCTATGTGGCCTAACTATTTACTGGGCTCTCAGAGCCAGAGGTGTCTTCGCAGAAGGAAATCAGTAGAAGGAAAGGATTGGCCCACTGGTAAAGCTTATTGGCCCCAAGGGCTGTCCATAAGAATGTGTCCATGAACCAAGTTACGTTTGAACAATGAGACACCAGGAGAGAGAAAGCAGCAAAGTTAGAGGAGTTGGATGGATGCCTTAGAAGAGGGAAAAATCAAAAGGTAAGAATTGGAGAAGGGGCCAAGGCAGATGTGTGGGAAAAGGGGTCAGGATCAGAAGCAGTGATAGGGGCGATGTGGGTGCAGGGTCCCTTTATTGCAGGAAAGAACTCTTTAGTTACTGCTCCTCATAAGTCAAGTCTCAAATATGGATGCATTTCTTCCAGGGCAAAACTAGGACTTCAAAGTGTCAGGCTCCTATTAGCAGATACCACTTATTGTCAACCCTTCCCTCCAGCTAGACTGGACCCTGTACTATACTGTCAACATGCCACAAGAATTTATGCTTCTGAGTCTTTCCTTGATGCATATCCCTACCACCACCACCTGAGCCCCTATCAGATAATGTGAATTGATTGTGGTCCTCTCACCTTTTTTTAAAAAAAAATGTATGTTCATTTAGAGAGACAGAGACAGAGCACAAGTGGGGAAGGGGCAGAGAGAGTGAGAGGGAGACACAGAATCTGAAGCCAGTTCCAGCCTCTGAAGCTGTCAGCACAGAGGCTGACACAGGGCTCGAACCCATAAACTGAGATCACGACCTGAGCCAAAGTCAGATGCTTAACTGACTGAGCCACCCAGGCGTCCCACCCTCTGACCTTCTAAACCTGGATGCTGTCTGAGAATTTTTCTTTCTGTTCAAGAAACCACTAGTCTAATACCTGTCATCTCTTCACCATACTTTTAAAGCTCAGTTATCTTTTATGGTGTTTTAAGGTACCATTTCCTTTAGGAAGAATTCTCAATGAACTTCCTACCTCTGAATACCTATAAAACTGATTATCAGTCATTCTTGTTTTTAAATTGGTCAGATATTTCCATGGGATATGCCTTAGATTCTAATTCTAATCTTTTTAAAATCCATTTTTCAATGCGTGTACATCATGGAGTTCTGATACTATTAGAAGGTCCTTGAGGGAAGAAAGCATGTCTTATACGTTTTAGCTTTTATGTCTGCAGTCCACAATGTGTAAAATGGTTCTATCTTCAGCATGTACTGTTATGTATGAATGTGTGTGTGTGTATGTGTGTGTGTGTGTGTGTGTGTGTGTGTGTGTGTGTGTGTATGAATGGAAGATTTCTAGCCTGGAGGAACCTTAGATTTCTGACTTAAATTTCAGAATCTTCTATCCAAAGATAGTCCCTAAAGACTGGGCTAAGAACATACTTCCTCAAGTGCAGCATGTGTTCATAGCTTCTGGGACCCTGCAGCACTCAGATGAAGAGAGGAGTCCTCTCTCTGGTTCCCTCCCAATAGTACCACAAAATGACCCTGTTGGAGGCTTCCTTGCAAGCAGGCACATTGAATGATTTGCCTCAACCATTTGTGTATAATACCTGTTGAAAGAAATAGTCTTGGGAAGCAGCTTTACCTATATTGAAAGGTAGGGAGAGCAGTATCTCCTGTGTCTCCAATTTCAGGGCACAGAAGACGGTCACACTGTGTGCTTCAGGGACTGAGAAAGACAAGTTGACAGAAATGTTGTATAGTTCTGTCACATTATTTTGAGATTTCTTCATGACAGTATCATACTTCGTAGTTGAATTCTCAGTGTTTAGCTGAAAATACATCTCCTTGGGTTCTGGGTAACCTTGTATAGATGAGCAGGTCAAATTAATGATGCCAGAATTTTCTGTTCTATTAGAAGTTACCATTATTTCAGGTTGACTGAAGTTAGCTGAAAGGAGAATAAAGATACAAAAAAAGAAATCAGTCTAAATTTAGATGTGTCTGGAAGACAACTGCAAATAAATGGCCCTGATGCGGGAACTCACTGGGGGCACATCTGGGAGCCTCCAGGTATCTAAATTGAGGGATTCAGCCCATAGTGAGAGCTATATAATGACCCCACATTTATTTTTCAAGAATGGAGTTTTGGGCCATGCTTACTTCCTGCTTGCCCAAATCAGGGGGCTCCTCTCTGAGTGACAGGAGGGCTATAATTGAGTCACCAAAAATTCACAATGAGGCCATTGTTCTGGGGAGTGAAGTCTTGGGAAGGAGAATTGGTGTGACTTTAGAACCCAGCTGTCTTATGGGGTACATTCCAGCTTGCCAGACTAAGGAAGCAGAAAGGGATTGACACCGCAGAGTTTATGGTGCTGGCCTGCTGGGCGACATATCTTCCAGAAACCCAAGCAGGAGAGTGGTAAGTGAGTGGATGGGGATTTTGGATTTAGAAATTCAGAATATTGGTTTTGGGCATAACTGTCATGTTTTCTACATCATGTTCAACAAGATGAAGGTCAAACTCAGCCATTTTAGGGGAAATATATGATCTTGATAAACACAGAGTTTCTCTCGCCTGGGTTTGCCATTTAGATTTCTGTGGCCATTGAGGACCACTGGTACCTAGCCCCTTCTGCCAACCAGATCCTTGTTCTTCTTCAGTAGTCACTGGGTAGTTTTCAGGTACAACACACTAATTTATAATTTAGTATATTGCCTTTAAAACCAGTGATTTGTGTGTCATCTTTATAAGTTTTCCTGTATCAACATACTACTTAAGTACCCTGCCTATATTTTATGGAGTCTGTAGAAAGTGGGTTGCCATGGTGCTACTTACCTTGCCCTCCTTAACAATATCTGTAGAATCACAGGTTGGGAAATGATTGTGTCCCACCTAAAACACTCCATGTTTCTCAATAGTATCTGGCCACACCTTAAAAACATTGATTTAGCACTTGTGCAAAATGTTCCAAAAGTCCTGTAGCCTACTTTGAATCACACAGGACTTAAAGGGAGGAACTCATCATTCTATTTATACTTTTGCCTTTGCTTTAACTCTGTGGTTTCAGAATCAGTGTTGCTCTGCCTTTACCAGTTTCATTAAAAATTAATCTGAATCTAGTAATCTCACACCTGGGTATCCACCTTATAGAAATGAAAACTTAACATTCACACAAAAACTTGTACATGTTTATAGCAACTCTATTTATAACAGACCCAAACTGAAAACAACTCAATGTCTTTCCATGGGCTGAGTGGGTAAAATATGATACTCCTCAGCAATAACAAGGAACAGGCTTTTGATACATGCAACAATTTAGATGAATCTCAAAGGCATTATGTTGAATAAAAGAAGCTAATCTTAAAAGGTTACATACTATGTGGCTCCATTTAAGTGACATTTTCAAAAGTTAAGACTGTAGGATGCAAAATAGGGGTTATGCGTATGGAGAGGGTATGATTATAAAGTGATACAGCATGAGGAAAATTTTTTAAGGTGATAAAAATGTTTTTTTATCCCATTTATAGTGGTGGTTACATAAATCTATTCATATGTTAAGTAGAACTGTGTATCAAAATAAAAAGAATTAATTTTACTGTATTATAATAAAAAATCTGTAGTTATATATAGGCTTTCCAAGGCTTGAAAAAAAAGAGGAGCTGAATTGTCACTTTTGGGGATTATGTGTCCCGAGTTATTTCCCTTCTGTCTACCGGGCTCTGGTTGGGCAGCAAACAACTCGTAAATGACCTCCAGGAGGTTGAAGGAAAAACCCAAGTCAATCAGCTGTCACCTTTGCCAGTTCCTCTAGGCAAAGATATAGTGGGTGAGAAATCTTGGACCAAAGGAAAAAAATGAACATAAAATCTGAGGCCTATTATAACTTTGCAAACTTAGTAATGGCCAAATTACCCATGGTTTTCCCTTGGCCACATTAACTTTGTTCAGTTAGCTCTATTTTGTCCACAAAGCAGATTCTTAGTGATCCTTCAGTAGCAAACTATAAAAAGTACAAGGACTTTCAGTTCCCTATTACTACCCTTGCCTTCCCTTCAAATGGGCTTCCCAGAAATGGCTGGCCCTTCTCTCTCCAGGTACCATCCCCACCCCTCTGACCTCCCCACTCCCCTCCTCCTGCAACATTTCTCAGCTCATTTTAGTCTCATCTGAGAAAGCCAGGGATCTGAAATATGCCATTTATTACATACCAAGCACTGATAGGTCAGAACTCATTTGGTGTATGGAAACCAGTCCTTTGGGCCCTTTATGATGAATGAAACAGTGATATGTGCCCTTGTCCTTGATCTGAACATTGTGGAGTCTCAGAGTCCAGTTGTCCTTGTCAAAGCTTGTGCGTCCCTTATATTTGAGATGAACATTTTGAGGGTTCTCTTTGCCTCTGAATAGGTCATACAGAACAAGCTTATCCTGGTCCTGCCAAAATACTACCAACTCATCCAGGCTTATGTTTTGAGAGTTTGTAAAATGGCATGGCAGTTCTCCAGTCTTGTTGAAATATGCTTGACTCTTCATGGAAGCAACACCTAAAAAAGGAAAGGTAGAGATTGGAGAAGGTGAAACAAGAAGGAAGAAGAAAAAATTAACTCCATTTATCTTTATACAATATCCAGATGCTATCTTACCAGTAAAGATACTAAAGAACTAGGTATAAAATTCTGGAATGTGCATATATACTGGCATCTGGAGATTGGGACCTTTGTCCTCACTCCACTGCTAACTAAAGTGGGCCTTGTATAAACTGCATCCACTATGAAGCTCACTTTCCTTATCAGTTTAATGAAGGGGTGGACTAAGTATTCCAAGAATCTTTCAAGTACTGTGGTTCTATGAATTTAAATCCCAAGACAGGGAAAACCATCAGAGTTAGACAACACATTCACCCATTCATTAACCTTCCTGTAACCTGAATATTGATTCTCTTCATTGTAGCTGTTACAAGGTCCATTACTTCTATACTGTCACCAAAAGTTCTCCCTTCCATATCCCCTTATTCCTTGGCCTGTTATAGTTGAAAGATTTCTGATAATGGCTACAAATTTGATATTCTCTCCCTTTCATTATGCCTTTGTAGTTGGATATTACATTGAGTAATATCTTTAAAATTCAAACAGTTCCCTTTACAGAGTTTCCCTCATGAATACTGCTTCCATGGTCAGCTCACCCAAGGATATAAAACAGTTTGGAAATGACACAGTCAACCAAAGCCTCTATTTTCAGTGACCTCTGTAAGTTCTTTCAGGGATCAGAAGGAGAACTGTGCCAATATGATGGTTGTTTTGGGTTTGTGGTGGTCAAAAACCATTTAAGGTACATGAATGAAATCCTGGAAATGAATCATAGATGAGAAGGTGAGGATGTGCTTTTGGAGTACTGGGGAAACCCCAGGTACGAGAAACTTGCTCTTCCCAGTATGTATTGCCACTGGAAATTTTTACAACCGCTGTAGGACATGCTGGGAAAGTTCAGAGAAAGGCTTTCACCCTTAAGGACATAGTGAAGGCCCATAGAGATATGGGCCACCTAACTCCTTAAATGTGACTGATTATAAGGTTTTGCAGACTTATTCTGGGTCACAAAATTACATAAGAGTTGGCCACGAAATTAAGTAGTGGTGAGTGAGAAGTGCAGAGCTAGTGGGAAATTAAATGCTGTTTCTTAGTTAATAAAAGTTTAATACCACCCTGGGAAAAATGTTTGGGTGGGTTTTGAATAAAGCTTCATCATTCAAGACTTCAGTGAAGAGACATTGACATTAAGGTGGAAAGGAGAGTAGGTTGGTAAAAGAGATGACAGGAGTTTCCTTTGAAGTATTCTTTGAGGGCGGTGGGAGAAATTAAATTGATCTGATCAACGGGTTTCTCTTCTAAGAGGGAGCAGGACACATAACAGTGACATGTTCTTGGCAAAATTGAACTATCCACAGAGTGGCCCAGTGAGAAGACATAATCAAGAGGTTTGGTGGTGGTATTGAACTCTAAGGGAAGAGGACTCTGGGCACTTGTGAACGTTAGCACAAGTTCAAATCACTGACTGTTGCAGGCAGAGAAGGACAAATATCATATGTTTGCACGTATAGGAGGATTAGGAGGAACTTAACGGAGGATCAGGGGGAAGAAGAAGGGGGAAATGGTGGGGGAAAGGGAGAGAGGCAAACCATGAAAGACTCTTGAATGCTGACGAAAACTGAGGACTGATGGATGTGGGGGGGAGGGGGGATGGGCATGGAGGAGGGCACTTGTGGGGATGAGCACTGGGTGTTATGTGGAAACTAATTTGACAATAAACTATTTGTAAAAAATAAAAAATAAAAATAAAAAATAAATCACTGACTGTTGCACTGTGCTCACTAGAACCCTGTAAAACACTTGGCAAGTATGAAATGCAACATCTGTACAGGATGTATTCCCGTATTGGAGGGTGGTGGGAAATTTTACCTGAGTACCTGGAACTGTGAATGGAGAACCCAAGGAAGATTTACTGTATTCAGCAGTTGCCTTACAAGGCAATCTCAGGGCTCCTGCTACTTCCTTGCTAAACTCTGAATGATAATGTAAGAGTGCCACCTGCTGTAAAAACTTCTAGTAGCTATATCTCTGGGGGAACTCACTCTGCTTTTATCGTTAATTTATCATAGATATAAGGCAGATGACCTAAAGGTGAAATCAAACTCATAGTTGAAAATTCTACCAGTTAATGGTCAACCTTATATTATTGCTTAGTGATCAACTGTGACTTCTAGGCCTGGAAACGACTTCAACTTTGGCTTCTTCTGTCTTTTTGATTTATGACTGTTTCTCTGCAGAACCTCAACTCTCTCTCCTTCCTAGTCACTCTTTCCACTCACAGATCAATCTAAATTCTCTGACTCAGGTCCCCTTTCCCTAAGATTATAAGGGCTTTTCCTTCCACCCATCTGACTGTCCCATTTCTCATCTACCAATCAAAAGTGAAAGGCATGGGATGGTCAGAAATGCGGAATCTCTGCTCCACCTCCACCACCAGACTTATGGAGTCAGAATCTTCATTTTAACAATAGCTCAGTTTGAGAAGCTACAAGAGGGGATCTCTACCTTTGTCTCCAGAGTAGAACAAAGATACTGATAGGAACAATTTGTTCCTATTTGTCCCTCCTCCCTTTCCCCTCACTCTAGGGTAGAAATCACTCTGAGGCCCATTTTGAGTGGAACTGAAAGTATTTCACAATTTACATTCCAAGTTCCTCACCAACCACTGGCTTCCATGACATCACTCAGAGCTGCACATGCTAATTCCCTCTCTGATGATGTGGGGAACATTTAGCTCAAGGTCTATTTTTGCTAAATGGCTTTAGGCTTCCCCTGTTATGACTCCACAGCTTACGTCACCCAGCTACTGGACTCATTGAGACTCCATTGGTGGGTAAGCATTGAGATTCTCTCCCTTGCCCAGCACCTGGGTAATAGAAAAGGTCTGTGTCTAGTTATAACTGATTGCTATGATGATGCCAGGAGCTAGGCACACAAGAATCCATCTAGACACCTCCTTAATCAAATAGAGAAATTTGTTTCAAAGGATACTTGAGGACTTTTTTAGCAATATAATGTTTAAAACTTACACAAAACTGTTGTGCTCTAACCTTGTGTGATCTCTGACTATACCTAGGACTTTAGTTTTTCCAGGCCACTACCCCAAATGAATGTCTTTTACATTTAAGGTCCATATTTTTCTCATGTTACTATGCTTATCTATACTCATAAATTTTTCTTCTTTTACTAAAGTTCCTTCAAAGCTTTACTACGCCCCTTGGAAATCTTATTCCCTTATAATAAACTCCTCTACGTCTTTAATCTCTTCATCAAATGTTTCCCCAATGTTGTGCTTTCATTGAAATCTGGTCCTACCTCAAGCAATCTCCTACTACTCAGTGCAGAGCCTGATGGTGGGGCTTGATCCCATGACACTGGGATCATGACCTGAGCTGAAAACAAGAGTCAGATGCTTAACGGACTGAGCCACTGAGGTGTCCCTAATTTTAATTAATTTAAATTTACATAGCTATATGTGGCTAGTGGCTATCATACAAGATAGCACAGGAATGGTATATCTTTCCATTCATTCTTTTGGCAATAAACTTGTTCTGTTGTGCAGAATTCATCCTAAGGACACTTAACTTTTGATCTACATACCTGTTCTTACAAATAAGTAATTAACCAGTACCAGAGAAATTATTCAATTGTTCAGACTGATGACATTACACATCTGTAGTCTCCCGTCTCACTTAATTTGTTCTCTGGGCTCATTACACTGCTACACTCTCCCTCATGGCAGTTACTTCAGCAATTCCTTCACTACTGCTTTTAGTTTCTTTTTCTCTTATAGTCGAAGTCTCTGAAAGAGTAAGCAGCAATTGCTGCCTCCACCCCCAGGCTCTGTCCCCCACCTCTCTGCCAAAACTTCCCTCACAGAGGTCGTCCGTGATTTCCCACCAATGCCAAATTCAGAGCTCTTTTCAGACCTCATGTTATTTGACTACTCTGTTGAATGTCACAGTGTTGGCCATATCTCCTTCTGCAAACTCTCATCTTTACCATTCTCTGACCTCCTGGTCAGTTTTCTTTTTAAAAAAAATTTTTTTTACATCTATTTATTTATGAGAGAGAGAGAGACAGAGTACAAGTGGGGGAGGAGCAGAGAGAGAAGGAGACACAGAATCCAAAGCAGGCTCCAGGCTCTGAGCTGTCAGCACAGAGCCCAATGCGGGGCTCAAACTCACAAACTGTGAGATCATGACTTGACCTGAAGTGGGTCACTTAACTGACTGAGGCACCCAGGTGCCCCTCCTGGTTAGTTTTCTATGATCACTCTTTAAATGCTGATCATCTCAAGTGTCGGTTCTTGATCTTCTCCTTACTCTCTACTTTTTCTGTTTTTTTTTTCTCCTCTAACCCCCTGGATTCATTTCTTCTCTATTCCCTTGTCAAGTATAAGCTAATAATTCATAGATGCTTTTCTTCAGCCAGTCACCTTCACTAGAGTTCTAGATGTCCATATTCAACTGTCTGCTGAGTACTGTTATTTATATGGCAACAGATAACTCTCTTCCTCCCCTGTATATGTTCCTGTCCTCTATCTTATTGAATTGTTCCCCCATTTGCTGCTGTCAGTACTTATCTGAATCATCTATAGAAAATACCCAAGAGAGGGTCATCACAGATGTGGCTGAGGAGATCTAGAATAGAATTATGATAACCAGAGCTGAACTCTAATATGGGAAAAAGAAGGGTGAGGAGACAATACGAAGCAAAGAAAAGGGCAACCAGAGACAAAGGATTTTGTATTTACCCAGAGATCCTGGAGATATTACCTTTTAGGTATGACAAAGACTCTTTGCTTGATCAAAATTTATTCAGGCTCCTGACCTACTCCCAGTCCCATCTGTGTACATAGGTATGACAAAGACTCTTTGCTTGATCAAAATTTATTCAGGCTCCTGACCTACTCCCAGTCCCATCTGTGTACATAGGTATGACAAAGACTCTTTGCTTGATCAAAATTTATTCAGGCTCCTGACCTACTCCCAGTCCCATCTGTGTACATCCTTGTAAAACTCAGTTTTAGCAAGAACCCTGTGAAGTCATTTTAGCCAGAATCCCCAACATTACTATCTGATTATACTTGAATATCTAATTGAGTTCCTCATCTTCCACTATCCCCCAGGTGATGTCTGATTACTCTGACCTGTCTTTAGCAATAACCCTTTTAGGCTGGTTTGGACAGAATCCCCCTTTACCCTTGTTTCTTCTTAGTAATTTTCCATCCACTGACCTCCCCCCATGTTGCCCCCTCTCTCTCCTTGGCTATAAATTCCACCTGCCCATGCTACAGTTGGAGCTGAGCCCAGTATCTCTTCCTCACTATAAAATACCTTTGTAGTGGTCTCTATGCCTTTCTCAATAGCACTTCCAACCTTTGGATAGTCTTCTTCACTGTGCTATAACAAGTGTCATCTAATATTTTTTTCTTTAACTGTTAACTAAAGAGAGATCCTCTGTTATAGAGCAGGGATGGTTCTTCAGGAGTTTTCATGGGCTACATGATATTTTAGGCCATGTTAATGTTAATACTAGCTTTGCTTTCATTTCAAGCTTACCATGTATCTTATTATATATATATTATATATATATAATATATATATAGTACAGAATATCTATATGTTTTATAAAATTATAAAAGTGTATTTTATGAAATGTTATCTATTAAAATATATGAAGCATCATATAATGTACAATGGAAAACATATCATTATACATTAAAAAACCTTAGTTCCTTTGAAGTACAAGCCATCAGACTATAGCATCCATAACCCCTCATGGCTGCTGTTGCCCGTCTTCTTCCTAGGGCCCCTTTTTCACTTAAGATCTGAGCATCTGGCTTGCTACAGCCATCTTCTCCTGCCTTCTCCTTTACTGCCCCTGTCTAGGTGATTTCAGCTATGTGCACACAGTGTCAAGCCTCCCACTTTCTTGTCCTCTTCCTCTCCAATGGTCCTATTGTCCACTTGACCCCAGCCATCTCCTCACTGGACCAGACCCCAGACCAAAGTTCTACCTCTATATCTCCTAAAACCTCTCAATATCAAGCACCTCACCTTATTATCACCACCTCCTGTATTTTCATTTCATTCCTTCTACTAATACCACTCCAACAATTCTTCTGCCTCACTGAGATAGATTTTGAATTGGAACATTTCTCACTGAGTTTGCAGATACTCCCCTAGGCCAAGCCTCCATTACATCTCCATTGGGATAATTGCAATTGCCTCCTAACTGATCTCCCTACTTTCATCCTTGCCCCCACATCTGGTTATTTAAGCCCAAATAATCCTTTAAAATATATCTCAGATAATATAATTCTCCTGTATCTGATGACTTCCCACCATACTGAAAATTAAATCCATATCCTTTCACATCATCCTGAGAACTAAATCCAAAAATCCATCCTATGGCCTATAAGGTCTTGTATAATCTGGTCCCTGGTACCTTTCAAACCTCTTTCCCCTCACTTACTCAGCTCTAGCCACACTGGCTTCCTTGCTATTCCTCTAAAAGGCAGGCACACTCTATCTCAAGGCCTTTTCTTATATTGATCCCTCTGCCTAGAATGCTCTTCCTCCTTACAGTCTCATAGTTATTTCTTCACTTCATGTAAGTCTCTCATAAAATGCTACCACCTAGGGAGATTTCTCTGACCATTCTATTGAAGATAGTATCCTTGTCACTCCCTATTCCTTATACTGACTTATTTTTTTATCAGAGTAGTTATCATGACCTGACATGATGTAGTATGTTGGTTATTGTCTGTCTCTCCCATGGAATCCAGCACCTAGTTTAAAGACCTATGTGTGATTTTTTTTAGTCCTGATCCTAAGCAATTATAAATGTTTTACCTAGCAGCCTTCATGGGGGAGAACTGTCCTTCCCACACCAGACCTAGTGCACAGCCCATGCACAGCAGTGTCTGATAGGAACCGTAGTCAAAACTCAAGATCTGTGGCCAGTCATGCTCATTCACATATTTACATTCATAGCCCAGGCACCTTCTTTCCTAGATTTCTTTGAGTTCCTGAGCAGAGGCCTTCACATGCCTTTCCTGAGGCCTCCTCATGTTGGGGAAGAGGAAGAGCCTTGAAGACACTTTTATTCATGCTGTCTCAGTATGTCCACCCTCAGCCCTTCCCTTCATCTTTCTTCCCCACCCCAACCTCAGAGTCCAAAACACTTATGGAGCCTTTTGTTCTGGGCTCCCTCAACAATGAGAAGACCCCCTGTCTGTTTTGATTTACCTGACCCTTTGGTTGGCAGGCTGTACAGAAAGAGAAAGAAGTAAAAATGTGGAAGAACAGATTGAGTCAGGAACAGTTAGTCTGAGAAGCTCTAGAGTTTCTTAAAGAAGAGAGAAGAGGGAATGGTAGGTAAACTATAGTTGAAGAGATAAAGATTGTGAATATTCAAACTGAGAAGAACATGGGTCCTCTGATTTAAAGTATATTCTAGGTATCATGGATGGAACTCAAGGGTGTTATGCTGAGTGAAATAAGTCAGGCAGAGAAGGATAGATAGCATATGTTTGCACGTATAGGAGGATTAGGAGGAACTTAACGGAGGACCATGGGGGAGAAGAAGGGGGTAAAAATAGTGGGGGAGAGGGAGGGAGGCAAACCATGAGAGACTCTTGAATGCTGAGAACAAACTGATGGGCTGAAGGGGGGGGAGGGGAAGGAGGAGATGGGCATGGAGGAGGGCACTTGTGGGGATGAGCACTGGGTGCTATATGGAAACCAACTTGACAATAAACTATTAAAAATAATAAATAAAATTTAAAAACATTTGAATTGGTAGACTGNGCTGAAGGGGGGGGAGGGGAAGGAGGAGATGGGCATGGAGGAGGGCACTTGTGGGGATGAGCACTGGGTGTTATATGGAAACCAACTTGACAATAAACTATTAAAAATAATAAATAAAATTTAAAAACATTTGAAAAAAAAATAAAGTATATTCTAGGTACCAAGTAAAATAAATGAAAATAAGTTCATACCTAGACATGTTGTGGTGAAACTGCTAAACTTAAAGCATAAAATATTTTTTTCAAATTTACAAACTCATTCTTTAAAAACTGAAGAAAGAAAATCTAAATGACAATAAGATTGAAATGTCCTTAGCAACCAAAGAAGACAGTGAGGTCATAACTTCTAAATGAATAAAACACATACACAAACACAATAAATTTTGACTCCAATTCAATGGACTAATACAATTTCAAAAATTATAAAAATAAAAATAATTTAGAAACTTTAGAAAGTATATATGAAATAATATTGAGTAAATATAAGGGATTCTCATATATATTGTGTTCATAACTGTATATAACTATTTTTACTGTCTTATCTGTTGCTTTATAGTAAATGCCAGGAAAATGATTTTTAAATGGGGAAAGGAGTTTAACGCCTTTTAATAGGCACATATGTAAGAAGAAGGAATGAAAGAAGGTGAAAATAAAACCAAGAATGGGTAAATACTCTTAAAGAGCTTAAAAGTGTTTTCATAGCTTTGGAACTATAGCCCTGGAAGTTGGCCCTATGGCCTGACAATATAAGAGGGGTCACTTCTGTGGAATAGATTGACTCTAGAAGTAAAATGTTGCTTATATAGTAAGGGCTACTAAATGTTTGTTTTTGTTTCCATAAATCACAACAGTCCCAAGGGGGCTAAAATCCAGAGTTACATATTCTGAAAATGGTATTAAGATCTCCCACAAAATAAAAATAAGCCACTGTCTCTCAAACTCATAACTCCTTTCTGAAGGAATGTGTCTACCATTGAAGCCTCTGTGATCCCTATTCGAATTGAGGACATAGGTCCTCAGATCAAGAGTGCATTCTAAGTACCAAGCAATGTAATTGAAAATAAATCCACACTTAGAGAAATTCTCTGTTCCCAGTTTTATTCTTGCTTCCAAGCAACCCAACACTTATTCTATTCAGTGACTATCTCCTACTAAATTATCATGGCTGACAGCCCATATTACTCTTATTTTTTCACTTTATTTTTTTAATGTTTATTTATTTTTGAGGAAGAGAGAGAGACGGAGTATGAGCGGAGGAGGGGCAGACAGCAAGGGAAACACAGAATTTGAAGCAGGCTCCAGGTTCTGAGCTGTCAGCACAGAGCCCAATGTGGGGCTTGAACTCACAAGCTGTGAGATCATGATGCAAGCTAAAGTCGGACACTTAGCCAACTGAGCCTTCCAGATGCCCCTTTTTTTCACTTGAAGAGAGAGTGTGAGTGAGGGAGAGAGGAGGAAGGGGATGGGGAGAAAGAAAGAGAGAGAGAGAAAGAGAGAGAGAGAGAGAGAGAAAAAAAATCCTAGGCAGGACCCACATTCAGCTCAGAGCCCAACATGGGGCTTAATTCCATGACCCTGGGATCGTGACCTGAGCTGAAATCAAGAGTCAGATGCCCAATCAACTGGGCGCCCCCAGCCCATACTCTTTGGAACTTACTAAGCACTCAACTAAAATGATTAATTACTTTGGGGTTAAGTTACTACCTACTGGGTTGTATACATGTATTTCAAAAGACCCTGAAACAGTAGCTTAACATGAAGGGGTGCTCTCAATAGGAGAACTATTAGGCTTCATGACAATTCTTTGGGAATTTTGTAATTAAGTCTGAACTATCTGTTTACCTCCAGGTAGTGATTTTAGTGACCACTATCAACAGTAGCAGGAAATAGGAGTCAAAGTAACCATATATATAAACATAATCCCCATGCAACCATCAACTAGGAACCTGCAAAAATCTGAGAGGAAACAGTGGACCTTTCCATAAGATGTGGAATGAGAGTCTGACCCAATTTTATGTAGATTTTCAGCTACACTCCAGGTACATTCATTGAGCCAGAGGTATTGATCAAGAGAAATGGGAAGCACTACCAGACAATAAGAGAGCCATCATCAAAAGTCAAACAAGAAATAAATTTCCTTATGATGTCTGAGCTACTGATTTTCTAAATACCACTCTGGTTCCAGCTTTAAAGAGGTACAGAGACTCTGGGACAGCAGCAAACAGAACTTGACAGGTAAATGTGTCTCTGCAAGTGGCACCTGGAAATTCCCTTAGCTTTATAAATACAAAGCACAAATTGTAACCTAATTCTGCAAGGCCCTCTGCCCTTTTCAGTCTTAAACTCTCAGCCAGTTTTCACCTGAAGGGCAGAGGTGGCCACTATAATGTCTAATTTCTACAACTGGGGGAGGACACAAAAGATATGAGGGAGAGGAAAAACAGAATTATTTTGCTACACTGTTTTGTCTCTGCCATCAAATAAATTATTCAGCCCTGCATTTTTGCTGAGGATTAACTGGGTCAATTGCATCTCTTTTCTTCCCTTGGATACCTGCCTATGGCCAGGTCAATGCTCACCAACCTAGTAAGCAGAGATGTGTCCTGAGAAGAGAGACAGATAAAATTCAAGTTGACTCTTTTCTTTCTTTAAAAAAAGAATGGTATCTGTTTTGTTGTTGCTCTTCTTGTTATTTTTAATAGCATGTGAAGTATTGGCAATGTCATATTCTAATTATAATCAGGTATCACATTTTCCTATCCCAGTATTGCAATTTATACTGCCAAATATATAATTTATTCTTTTAATGCCATAAAACTTAAGCAGTTACCATTTTGAGAGGTTATTTTTAAGGTTTCAATATTGGTAATCCTCTTTTCTGAGGCTAAGAAGCGTCCAGGCAGTTTCAAAGGCAAAACAAGGGAAAAAGTGACATCTGGACTCAGTTCTGATAGGACTTCTCAGCTTCATTCTCACTTTCAGTGTGCAAAGTCAGAAAGTTTAGGGGAAAATGGTATCTCAGTTCAAACTTTTCTAAAAATTTGTTTCTAAGCCATTTTTATTCATTTTTTCCCCCAAGTCATAAGAGCTGGGCTAGCCACTGTAATGAGAAAGGTGGGGGCCCAAACATTAGAAACAGCTGAGGTGTTGGCTATAGGGAAGGTGGATTACGTGCTGGTGGGGATATTGGGAACTTGGCTGAGGCATAAGAGACATTATCTACCAAAAGTGTTTGGGTCTTCAAGGAACAAATCCTACCACTAATGAGTGTTTCATGAGCAAGTTAGTAGAGGCAGCATAATGTCAAGGTTGAGTGAATGGATGCTGAATCTACACTGTGGGGTATGAATCTAAGCTCTTCCACTCATTACCTATGCTGGTCCTAGACAAATTACTTAAGCTCTCTGGGCTTTAGTTTCTACATCTATAAAATGGTGAATCAAAATAAGACCTAAAGCGGCACATTATTGTGATGTTATTATTGTGAGTTATTATTGATAAAATGCTTAGAACAGTACCTGGCACAAAGTAAGTGCTACATCTAAGTATTTGTCAAGTATATAAAATAGGAAGTGGAATGGGAAGGGCTTCCTGCTGGATAATGTTCTCCAGAGCCCCTTTCTCTCTTACTCTTGTTCACATATACTTTCTACCTCCCTAAGAGCTAAAAATAGCTGATCATTGGCCCTGGATAGTAGAAGCTTCTGTTCTGACCTAAATCAGTGAAGTGGTCAGTCAGCACATCTCGTACTCATACTCATGGACTCAACAAGCTCCAAGGCATAAGCAGAAAACAGAAATTACAAAAGGCCTGTCCCAGCCAGCATCAGTCTGAGGGAGCATCTCTCCCTAGAACTGTGACTCATCACACACAGCAGGCGTGAGGCCAGTGGCCTCGGGCCTGGTGTATACCCATGTGGAGGAGGTGAACTCATTGGGCATGCTGGTTACTCAGGGGCAGCCTGCCTGCTGCTACAGCCAAGAACGGGTTCAGCTCACCCTCCCTTCCTGCCCCACATCAGGACTGGGATGGTTTCTCTCTTGGTGCTGACGGTGTGGAAAATGAGCAGCAGGAAGGGGTGGGAAAGGAGAAACTAAAGGCCTCCAGTCACAGGGTATGTGACAGGAACCTGATCAATCCCAGTTTATAGATGAAGAAACTGAAACTCAGAGAGAAGCAGCAAACAGGGAAGACCTGAGTTTTGTGAGGTCTGACTCTTCTAAATCATCTTTGTTGGGGGTGGGGAGGGAGGGGCAGTTCTCTTTAAGAAAAAGAATACAGAATTCAAATACAAAATGCCCATGGCAACTACCGTGACACCCAACAGAAAAAGAATGTGATGAGGAGAGAAGCTTCAGTGGAAAGAGACAGTGGTCTTAACCACTGTGATTAAAATATCGTATTTATGAAAATTTTACCAAAGCATGAGACTCATGGTCACACTCCTACGGCCTCCCTTATGGGAGGCTTGGAGGGGACTTTGGAAAGGGCTTGTGTGAGAATCCCTGAAGCTCAGCTTCCTTCACTTTATGGTGAATCCACTGATGCAATTAGCTGAAGGTCACTGAAGTAGGTAGTAGCAGGGCTGGGCTTCTTGATCTTCCTAGTAAACAGTGGCCACTATGATCTATGGGCATGGGCTGGTAGGGAAGGCAGTGGAGGAGGAAAGGGAAGGGAGGGAACATGGAAACTAGTGCTCCCTAATGGAAGGCTTTTAGAAGCCCGTTAGCTATTTTCTAAAAGCCTGAGAATGCCAGGAATGGGAACAGAGATGACCAGAAGGAAGTACGTGTGGAGCAGAGTTAAGCCTCAGGGGTGCCAGAGCATGGGACTTACCCTAGCTCGCTGGGTGCTGCTGTGTACCTTACTTTGTGTATCTAGTACCATGGGTGTAATATAGGACAGGAGGAGGATGTGCAGAGGGTAGGGCTCCATCCCAGGCTATCATGATGCTGCCGCCTTCTCCAGGAACGTGTTTTTTTTTTTTTTTTTTGCATGTGGGATTGTGCAACACTGTATAGAAGTTAAGTAAAACCCACCAAGCCTCAGGCCTGGGCTCACAGTGGCGAACTCATCGGGAGACAGTAGAAGGATTTCTAGGACTTTAAAAGTCAAAGGTTCTTACCAGAGAGCAGGAGGGCCATCACAAAAAGAGTGTTATGCAGTCCCATAGTGCTAGAGTTAAAAAAGAAAAGATAAAATTTTATTAGAAAATGACACTGGAAACCAAAACATGACAGGTGGAGTTTGGGATTCATTTAGGCCCATGGGTGTAGCAGAGACCATGCTATGTGTTCACCAAGGTTATTTCCTCTTACCTCCTGGTTCCACAGATATGCCCTACATCCCAGCCTCCCCTGCAGTTAGGTGGGCCATGTGAGTGGGGTTCTAGCCAGGGGAATAGTGGACAGAAAAGACTGGTGTTGCTTCCAGACCTGCCACTAAAGCTTCCTCTCTTTCTTCCCTCTCCTACCTTCTTAGATGCAGAGAACCCAGAAAAGAGTCCAAGGCCCAAGAAGATGGCAATGCCTCACTATGAAAGGAAGCTGGTTTGGTGAACAAATGAATAAAACAGTTCTTTCCACTCTAAAGTGATCCATATTGGACTGTAACATGAGCAAAACATAAACTTTTATGGTATTAAGCTAAAGAAATTTTGGGGATTATTTACTGGAGTAGTTAGCACTACTTATCTTGACCAATACAATGGGCTTGATGGGACAAATAAAGAGTATGTTTAGAAATCAACTTGCCTTTGGTTTCCCTGTGATTCTCAAACTTTAATGTGCATAAAAATCATCTGGAAGATCATGTTAAAGCAGTTTTCTGGGCTTTGTCCTTAGAGATTCTGATTTAGTAGGCAGGGTGAAACACATGTCCTACTAACTCACAGGTGATGTTGCTGCTGCTGGTCTAAGGGCCCCACTTTGAGAACATGATGGAGCTGAGGAAAACAACAGGCATTGCTTTATACTCTCATCTCTTTCTTCTTCTCTCCCTCTCTCTTTCTTCACTCACCCTCTTACCTCACCTTAGACAAAAAAAAAAAAAAAAAAAGGCTGTAGAGTGGCTTATAGGGAAGCATAGAATAAGGGAGAATGACCAAAATTAGAAACAGCTGAAAAGCGAACCAAATGCAAGAAGTAAAAAAATGGAGCCTGGTACAAGCCCAACGCTAAATGCTTACCACAGAAATCTGCTCATGCTGCATTGGTTCAGGTTGTAAGTTTGGCCTATAGTTCTTTACCAAAGTGAAAATGAAAACCTAAACTGGTGAGTTAATCTACAGATCTGTCTAATTAAGATAAAACGAACCAATGCCCAGAAGAGGATGTACAACTATTTCTGATCCAATAACAGAAATGTCTTCGTTGTGGGGGGGGCGGGTGTCTGTCTAGGAGCCATCCCTGATCCATTTGGGCTATGCTACATACCCTTCCTCTCTGCTCCCGTAGCGCTCAGCATAGGGCTTTGGGCTAAAAGTCTGTTAGTGTTTCCTCCCTTCTAGACTATAACCTCTTCTTTTCAGTTAAAAAATTTTTAATAGATTATACCTGCAAGTTGAACTAAATTTAAAAGGTAAAGGTGACAAATGGTGGAAAGCAAGTCTCTCTCCCAACGTGTCCCCTAGCTATCTAGGTTTTCCCCCACAGATATAACTAGAGTGACCACTGCTACCTGTTAACAGTTTCTTGCCTATACTTGCAGTTATTTTGGGTAAAACAGAATGAAAACATAGACTCATACTCTTTTTTTCATTTTATTTTTAAGCACTAAAGGTAGTTTTTTATACACAATTTTGCACACTTGCCACTACCTTAGAAATTGATCTGTATCAGCATGTACTGGATATCCTCATTCTAACAGTTGCATATTCTGTTGTATTCTATTGAATGACAATAATTATTTTACCAGCCTCTATCAATAGACACATTTTGCTGCAATGAATGTTTGCTGTTATGTTCTCCATGAGCATTCTTCTTTTCACACAGCTTTTTCCAACATAGCATGTTTTCTAATTTGTCATCTTTACTGATAGGGAAAGTTAGGATGACAACTCACTGAAATTTTCATTCTTATTTAAAAAATTTTTTAATGCTAATTTGAGAGAGAGAGAGAGAGAGAGAGAGTGAGTGAGCAGGCGAGAGGCAAAGAGAGAGGGAGACACAGAATCTGAAGCAGGTTCCAGGCTCCAAGCTGTTAACATAGAGCCGGATGTGGGGCTCGAACCACGATCTGCGAGATCATGACCTGAGCGGAAGTCAGACACTTAACTGACTGAGCCACCCAGGTGCCCCCTCATTGTAATTTTTAAAAATTATTTTTCATTGTGGTAAAATATACATAACAACAAATTACCATTTTTCCCATTTCTTTTTTTGAGAGAGAGCCCATGTGTGCAAATGGGGGAGGGGCAGAGAGAGAGGGAGAGGGAGGGAATCTTCAGCAGTCTCCATGCCCAGCATGTTGTGGGGCTCCATCTCAAGACTATGAGATCATGACCTGAGCTGAAATCAAGAGTTGGAGGCTTAACTGACTGAGCCACCCAGGCGCCCCCCGCTCTTTTTTTTTTTCTTTTGAGAGAGAGAAAGAGTGAGAGCAAAAGCGAGAGAGAGAGAACATCTTACTCATTTTTTAAGTGTATGGCAGTTTTAAGTACAATTACATTGTTGTGCAACCACCACCACCACCATTCATCTCCAGAACTCTTTTCATCTTGCAAAACAGAAACTCCTAACTTATTAAACACTAGCTCCCTATTCTCTCCACCCAAGCTCTGAAAACCACCATTCCACCTTCTGGTGCCATGAGGTAACTCTAGGTAAGTGGAATCATACAGTATTGGTCTTTTTGTGACTGGCTTATTTCACTTAGCATAATTTAATCAAGATTCACCCATGTTGTAGCATGTGTCAGAAATTCCTTCATTTTTAAGGCTTAATAAAATCCCACTGTGTGTATATGCCACATTTTGTTTATCTCTTCATCTGTTGATGGATATTTGAGTTGTTTCCACCTTTTGGCTGTTGTGAATAATGTTATGAACATGGATGTACAATTATCTCTTTGAGGCCCTGCTTTCATTTCTTTTGGTTGTATAGTCAGAAGTAGAATAACTGGATCATATGGTAATTCTATTTTTAATTTTTGAGGAACTGGAGTACTGTTTTCCACAGCAGCTGTATAATTTTACATTCCCATCAATAGTGCACAAGAGTTGCAATTTCTCCACACGTTTGTCAGCACCTGTTATTTTTTTCCCTATGGTATTCATCCTAATGAATATGAGGTAATTTTATTTTTTTAATTTTTATTTTTTAAAAAATTTAAGTTTATTTTTAATTTATTTTGAGAGAGACAGAGACAGTAATGCATGTGGGGGAGAAGCAGAGAGAGACAGAGAGAGGAAGAGAGAGAATCCCAAGCAGATTCCGCACTGTCGGCCCAGAGTCCAATACAGGGCTCAAACTCACAAAACCGTGAAATCATGACCTGAGCTGAAACCAAGAGTCAGACACTTAAGTGACTGGGCCACCCAGGCACCCCCTCACTGTAATTTTAAAATGAATTCTGTTATTATGAGTTTGAACATCTTTTCAAATGTGTAAGAGATAACATTTTTTGTTCCATGTACTGTTCATACATTTCTTCTACATACTTTTGAGTCTTTGAGCTTTTTATAAGTGTTTCTTATAAAATAAAATTATAAAATAATTTATATTAATTTAATTTTATAAAATTAAAATAAAATTAATAAAAAAATTAGTGTTAATTGGTAACTACTTAGAAAAGTAGAGCTTTGTGACACTGAGTTGCAAATATGTTCACTTGCTGAAACACACAGTAGGTGTTCAGTGTATTAATCTCACGCTTGTTCCCAATTACTCTCTCTCTTCCTTCCAATGATTTCAGTAGGCTACAGAGCTTAGGCATCATCTGTTGGGCCAAAGATGACACCACTCAATGTAGAGCCTAGAAAGAGAGGTTCCTGTGCACTTCCTCATACTAAATTATCACCAGCATCCTATTTGTCATAGACTCTGAGGACTAGGCATCCTTTGAGTCTCAACTCCCATCTAATCTCCCATTGTTTGCAATCCAAAAATCAGCTTGCTTGACCTAACCAAAGATTTGTTTTTCCTAGGGGTTATGTGTTGAACAGTGACACAAAGTCAAATTATACTTCACTGTAAATTTAACAAATCACCTTTAATTCAAATTATTACATGAATCAGTCCAGCCCAAGAAATCTTGGACAAATGGCCTCTGTAATTCATACATTGAGGAGAAACACTGCATATGACAAGGAAATCAATACCATTTTAACTTCTCTATTTGGAGATTCTCTCTTCCCCTGAGTGAGAAACTGCCTCTCCTTAACTTCCTCTCATGGACACTGCTGTCACTCTCTGGAGCTACACAGAGAAACCTTAATACACTTCTGCCAAAGCCCTTTAAGAATTTGGGGACAGAGATTACATCCCTCCTCAAAATCCTGGCCCAGCTGTGACGGTCCTTCTGGTAAACGTTACTAACATTAGTTTAGAGAGTGCACACTGCCCTGGACAACACTTTGGACATTTTGTTTGTCAGAAACCCTCGTAAAATATGGTGCTAAAATACTTAAGATGGACATACTCCTCTACTACTCTACCCGTGTGAAGAATTTCTCTCAACTCTACCTATGGTGTATGTGCAAGGATGCGGGTTTAGGTTGGGAAGCCAGTTTCTTCAATGTTTTGGCTCTGAAGAAGAGCAGAAACGTCACTGTTCTCTCAGGTATGAATTCTCAACCACAACCACGAGGCATTGCTTTCTCCAGAGGGCCTGAGAAGTAGAAACTCTTGGTTTTGAAGGGAGCTAGCAAAAAGGGGAATGGGAGAGGAAAGAACCTAAGAATTTACGGGGGGATTCTCTGAGAAGAGATATCTGTCAGCGATGAGCAGAATAAGGTCTGTAGGTTGGGTGAACTGACCAAAAAACTAGTAGTAGGTTTTTGCCTCCATATAGCTGGAGGCCTATTGCAGAAACCAAAGCAGAGCACCTACCCTAGTACCCCACTTTCCCTTACTGTATATGCCTGGCTCATCACAGACCATGAGTGAGAGTCAGCTGAATGACTAATTACACTCTTATTCCTCACAGTCAAGTGGGATTATCTGCCCCCAAGTTACAGATGAAGAAATGGAGCCTCTGAGAGGTTAAGGAACTTGCTCTAGCCACCCAGCAGTAAATGACAGAGTTGAGGTTTAAACCCACACAGCTTCTCTGTGTTTCTTTTAACACTGATATACTTCCTTTAAAATTTCCAGCCAGTTTCAGCTGTGCTATGGGAGCAAGGAGAAAGGATTATGATTCTACCCACTCTTATGGTAGTGGGGGAGCAGCACATCCCAAAGGCCAGGTGTGAAGGTGGCTCCTGAAATCAGAGTGTACATTACAGGAGAGATACTGGGAGGAGCCAAAAGGTCCCTTCCTATCAGAAGAGTTTCTGTCCTGAGCTTCCATTCACTCCACAAAGATTACTTGAACACACCCTTTCTGTGTCCAGCAGGGAATGTTCCTCTCCACTCCAGCCCCAGACAGGATATCAGTGTACTAGTGTGGACTTAGCTCCAGGCACAGGTTACTGTGTTTCAGCAAGACTCACCTGGAAGAACTCTGGGGAAATTCAGGTATTTGGGCAGAAAGAGGAGCGGATAAAGAAGGGGTCTTTGGTGTCTCAGATCTGAAGGAGATCTGCCTCT